AGGGAAACGCGTAGCCTCCGTGGCATGGAGCCCGGGAGTTGCTGGAAACACCTGGCGTGCACCTGGGTGTTCAGGGGCGCTCGCCGGGAAGTCGCGCCCCGGGAGCACTGCAACTCCGCTCTGGCCCTGGCACTGCGCCCTCGGGGCCGCCGCTTCTCTCCCCTAACTTCAGTTTAAGCTGCTACTGTCGCGAAGGCAGCGGGAGATCAGTGCTAACCTGGGTTCCGGGCCCCTCCCGAGAGGAGCTCTAGGCGGAGGCGCTTGGCTTTACCAGCTCCTGGGGGGGTCTGGCCCCCAGGCTGCTCCTCCGGGGGTGCTCTCCCAGCTCAGTCTCGCTGGGACTCGATTGTCGCCAGGCAACCAACACCTACCAGGCAGCTCGGGAGCTAGGACAGCGTCCAGACTCGTTAGCGGCATTTAGAGCATTAACAACAGTGTGAGCTCTGCCCCCTGAGCCGGGAGACCCTGACCGCACAGCCGGTCCGGCAGCAGCGCGGGCAGTGCGGCCGGCGTTAGGGTTTCCCGTCCCCGGCAGGCGTTCCTGAAGCGGACAGCACAGCAGGCGCCGTCCTGGGCCGGGGTTTCACTCGTGCGCCATCGCCTGGGGCTCCCACCCTCCCACTGGGGGGTGGCAAGTAGGTTGCATCGCTCATGGCGGCTCCAGGCACTGGTGCAGGTACCCGAGTCACCGTGGAGAGGGCTCCGAGGGTTGGCCCGATTAGTGGGAGTGGCAGCATTGGTTGGTGCACCTGCGGTGGACCTTGGGCGGAGGACAGCTCCCTCCGGGTCCTTGCTGCTGACGCGCTGTGTCCCTCTGCTGGCCGCCAGCCCCTCGCAGCCCCCTCGCACGTCTTGCGTGGGAAGCCTGGCCGGGCTTTGCCGGTGAGTCTGTATCGCTGCTGTGCCCGGCTCACCCTGTAAGTCCACCTCACCTGCCATGTGTGAGATGGCTTCCTTGCCCACTTCCGGTGTCTTCTAAAGTGCAAACGTCTGAAACGAGGCCGAGGTCTGGCTCCTGGACCAGTGGACAGCAGTTACATTTGGAGTGTGCGGATCCTAAAACTGTTGTTAGCTTCCCCATGGATAGAAAGATGGTGTCCGGTACCAGGAAATAACCCTGATTTCACTCTTCCCCGGAGCCCTCTTGGTTTGTATCTAATGTTTACGTGGTCACTAAAAGTCTCAACATAGCAAACAGGTACAGTTCTTCCAGGTTGAGAAAGACATCAGAAGTTTCTGTTTCTGTCGCATTGGCAAATGTATGCGCACTTTCTTGGTTTGAAACGCTCATAGAATCGTGCAGCCAGAACCACAGGGACTGTTCTCAGGGGAAGGAGGAACCAACCGGGTCCTCTCGGCCCACTGCAGAATTACCCAGGGTCTCTTCGGGTATAAGATCCTTTCTGCTTCAAGTTTAGATAGCCTGAAGGATGAGGTCTTTGGGGGGAAATCGTAGCTTTCTCTAAAGGGCAGTATCTTCTGTTTTCACTTTGTAAAAGTGATGTGATTAGATATAGCCAGCCTTAGTTACCTGTGATTTAATATGAGGTACATTGAAAACATTCTAGAGAGTAACTGATTGTGTCGGTGGTTAATAGTTGTCACATCTGGGAATGGGTACTTCCGTGTGCTTTGCAAAAATCCTGTTCCTAATGTAGTTATCTATCTAGTTAGTTAGTTAGTTAGTTAGTTAATACTAACTTAGTTGTTCCTCAACAGCAAGGAAAAACACAATTCAGGATTACATTTTGCAGTATCAATCCACCAATCTATTGAATTTCTGGACTTTCTTTAAAAATATCTCCACCTAGTCATCACAGTATTTTTCTCAGAGCATATTCAAGACAAATTAATTGTTGTAATTATCTTAGGGATTATAGTTGCTTTCTAGCTATTCATACCTTTTATGTATATCATTTGGTTTTTATAATTACCCTGTGAAGTAGATATAGCATATAGTATAGATATATATATATACACACACATATACATACAGACCTATATACATACTTAATAATAGCTCTGGTTTTGTGTATATACGCTATAAAATATATTTATATATAAATCTCCAAAGCTCTACTGTTAAGTAACTTGCTTAGCATTGCTAAATTAGTGAATAGTGGAATCAGAATTAAAACCACGTTTTTCACTTAAAATGCAGGAAATTTGCAAAATGCAGTCCTCGAAAACAACACCTACTAACTGGGAAACAAAAACAGAACATTTTTTTTTATTTAACATGCTACTCTAAGTAACATTTGTCTCCTGATAACCTAGTAACTTTCTCCCAGAGGACTTGAGGTGGTGATGGCTTTTGTTTACTTGCTACATTAGGATATTGGTCAAAAAGGGAAAGTTCTCCGAGGGAGGTGGCTCAGTACTTGCAGATTCTTTATGCTTAAAAAAACTGAATCAAAATCAAATACTGACCAGCACATATAACATTTTCCTTCATTTTAGATTTTCTTCCATTTGTATGTGATGGTTGTTCAGGAATATTTTGGTAAGTTATTTGTACAGGATTTGAAAGTAACTTTGGTGTTTGTAATATGAGGTTTACTTCTGAACAGCAAAATGATGTAAAATAGCTCGTTAGCCATTGATATTTAATGTTCATTATAGTAAAATGAACACTTGAAAAAAATAGATTAGTCATAGGCTCTGATTACTTGTGCATATATTTAGCTAATCTTTAAATTTCATAGATGGCATCATCTGTGTGATTTTTCTTTTTTTAAATATATTTTTATTGATTTCAGAGAGGAAGGGAGAGGGAGAGAGAAATATCAATGATGAGAGAGAATCATTGACTGGCTGCCTCCTGCACCCCCCACCCCTACCCCCAAGGGATTGAGCTTAAACCCTGGCATGTGCCAGGACCAGAATCAAACTGGGACCTCCTGGTTTATACATTGACACTCAACCACTGAGCCACACTGGCTGGGCTGTGCGTGATTTTGTATGTAAAAGTTGTATTTGTGGCTTTTAATCGCAAGGAGAGAACATGTCCACAATATAAAGAATATGGGAAAAATCCAGTTAATGATTATACTCTATTTTAATTAATAAAATGAAAGTAATGCATATTTTAAAATCAGCTAGAGCACATTTTTGACTTTTTATTATTGACTAGAGGCCCGGTGCATGAAAATTCGTGCATGGGGGGGGGGTGTCCCTCAGCCCAGCCTGTCTCCTCTCACAGTCCAGGAGCCCTTGGGGATGTCCTACTGAGGGCTTAGGCCCGTTCCCCGCGGAGAGCGGGCCTAAGCCACAGTCTGGCCTCCCTCTGTGGGAGGCGACTGGCCAATCAGGAAGGTACTGCCCCCATCACTCCCTCGCTGCTGCTGCCTCTGGCCTTCCTCTGCAGGAGGCAACTGGGCCAATCACCGGAAGGTGATGCAGCTGCTGCTACCACTGCCAGCTGCCGGGGCTGCCTGAGCCTCGGACCCGGCCCTAGCAGCGGCAGACCCCCCTTCTCCCCCACCTCAATGTTTTGGTCTTTTCACACACCTGAACGCACTCGGAGTAAAGGAGGTAATTTAGAGTGGCGAATTTTTTTTTCTCATATGGAAGTTGAACAATTGTGTTTGAGGCAATAGATGCTTTATTTTTATATGATAAGGTATTTCAGCTTATCTTTGTTTGTAGAGTTCTTAATGTAGCATAAATGTAATTAATCTTAAGGATGCTAACAACTGAAATATCTCAGATTATGTTATCCTTACATTATTTGATTGCATTTAAATAAACACTATTTTTTTAATTATTTAAGCCTTGAGCACAGAAGCAGAGAGTCGCACAGCTGTCCTGAGGTATGTTAATAGTTCTCCTCTCTAATAACTCACATTTGTATTTATGTACTTTTCTTCCAATTTTTAAAAATGTATTTTTATTGATTTCAGAGGGGAAGGGAAAGGGAGAGAGATAGAAACATCAATGATGAGAGAGAATCATTGATTGGCTGCCTCCTGCATGTCCCCTACTGGGGATCGAGCCCTCAACCCTGGCATGTGCCCTGACCGGGGAATTAAACTGTGATCTCCTGGTTCATAGGTCAACACTCAACCACCGAGCCATGCCAGCTGGGCTTTCTTCCAACTTTGAAGAGGTTTCAAACCAGCCAGTGTACAGCAGATTAAAATTTGGCATACTAAGCTAATTATGCAAATTATTGTTTTTGCTTTATTTATACTATTTTTCTCAGTTTGTTTTTTAAAAAATTGGTCTACTTGGTATTTTTAGTTTTTTAGTCTCATAATTCTTAGTTCTTTACACTCCAGTTCTGTTTGGGTGGCTGCTTGCAGCTCTAGGCTCCCTGTTTGCAGATCTGAAACGGAATTGCTGCCCTCACGCACCCCTGCCAGTTTCCTCCACTTGTTTGTTTGCATGGTGCCTGGTGTTAGGATTTGGTGACAATATATTGTTCTGACTCAGTCAGCCTTAGACCACCCGGAACAAACCTGTGGTCGCACAAAGTCCCATTCTAATTCTGACCACATGGAGAGCTTAAAAAGCGGCTGGCAGACAGAAACGGAAATGTCACCTGTGGTACTGATAAAGGATAAGGAGGATGGGAAGGCTCAGCGAGGAGAGCCCAGTAGGTCTGCAGAGAACGCCAGCGCTGGGCACACTGCCTGCCCAGCCCAGCCGTGCTGGACCCGCCAGGCCTCCTCCCTGACTCCCAGGTTCAGTTCCAAGAGGAAAAGGAGAAAGCTGGGCCACTGTCTCACATTTGACAGGCAGACAAGTGGCCCTGCCTCCCTGGGTCAGGAGAGGCGGGAAGTTAAACTGGATTCTCTCCATTTGGAAGGAAGCGTTTGCCTCACACTTTGCAGGGGACACTTACTCCTGCCCACTATTTGCCAAGCAGAAGGATTTTACATCTGTTCTGTCAGTTATAGAAAATTCAGGTTAAATGGCTTCAAAGTCTGGCCCTGTGAAGTTTAGGTGATTTATTTGAGGGAACTAAAAATTAATGAACTTACTGGTGTTGCACAGGGTTAACTGGGAGGAAAATCTCATTTAGAGTCACAGAAACATGCTGATGTTTCTTATGCAACTTGTAAATCTGCCCCGTGCTTTCCTTTTTCTTATACCACTTGATTTTCTTTTAATGTCTCTCACAGAATGTCTCTCAATTGGATCTCAATTAAATAGTGAAGAAAAATCACTTACCTTGAGACTGTGGGAACAAGTTTGGAAAAATAGTTAAGTCAATTCCAACAAGATGCAACTATCATTTATATGGAGGAGTGTCTTTGATTGTGGATTTCAAGCAATTATTTCTCTAAATTCATTCAACTCTAGAAACGTAGTTACTTAATATACGCCCCCCCACCCCCGTTTTTGAAAGTTCACTTTAAGCCCCTTCACTTGTATGAAAGACCCACATTAGTACCTGTTTGTGCTAGCCTAAAGAAACCCAAAAAGGATGTTCACTTTTACAAAAGAAGTGGAGAAGTGAAAATAGCATTTAACACTTGTTTTGCAGTGAGCCATTCACTACACAGGCAGCGCACCCCGAGCTGTGAGAGCGGCCGACAAGCTCCTTCCCCCGGAATCAAGCTCAGCATCGTGGCATTAGGGCTCCTTAGCTTTGAACTGTGTCTGAGCATCTGGGAGACCCATTTTGGGGTCTGGGAACAGGGAAAAAATTTTCCATGTAAATTAATGGTCATTGCACCGTTTCGGTTTATGAAAAGTTTCATAGGCAGGGATGCTCAGCTACTTTCGGATAGTGGGGGACACCTGTAGTCAGAATAGCCTGGTTGGTCTGGATTTTTTTTTTTTAATCTTATAAAATCTCATCTTTTTCTGATGTAATATTGCTGGAAATACAATACTAAACACACCATCACGAACAGTATATCATTATGAAAACTATCTTTAACCCTCTGTATCATGGATAAACATAATTTTAAGTGTTCATTTATTTATACTAACTACTTAAAATTGGTGTAGAAAATAGATAGACTTGCCATTGAGGACTGATGTTGAGATGACTACCTGAGCATGTTAGTATGGGGGCATCTTTGTGTTGGACCGTTACAAAGTAGAAGACTAAAATTGTAAAGAATAACTCAATAGTCACGGTAACTTGACTTAGAAGATAAATATACCACAGTAGGAAGATTATGAAAATGTAGAACAGTCAACACAATAATCATTTCTCACACAAATATTTACTATAATCTGTTTTGTGGGAGCATCGAAGTTGCTCTTATAAGTTTAAGCAGCAGTAAAATGAATGCTGCCTTCCAAAATAGATTTGTTGACTTATTCTCCATGTGAAATACACCAATTTCTCCTTTTTACATTTTCAGGTGACTGTAGTCAAGGAGAGGCTAAAGTCAGATACACATGCGTCTTACCCATGTGCGTTCAAGGGCTGTGCTGAGAAAGAGCTTGTACCAGTGACCTGTCCTCACTGTGAGAAGAACTTTTGCCTGAGGTGATCACTCAGATCCCCCACACTCTATGCATCTGTTTAACTTGTATACAAATACTTGAACTGGTGTCACTCTTCTGTTGCTCACAGACACCGTCACCAGTCAGATCATGAATGTGAAAAACTGGAACTCCCTAAGCCTCGCATGGCTGCCACTCAGAAACTCGTTAGAGACATTATTGGCAAGTACCAAGGAAACTGGTTTCATTGCTCTCTGTGTTGCTGTCTGCCTATTAGTTCCAAAGCTCCTGCTGCTTATGTCTGCTTCTCAGCATGGAAGGCATTGTTAACAGCCCCGGTGGGCTGAAACTTGCAATCTATTCTGACGATACTCTTGCAACAGTATTTCTCACAAAGCCAGATGTTTTCCTGCTCGGCCTCTCAGATCAGCTGGTTAACCATCACAGCTAGAAATAGTTTCATGGAGCTAAAGTAGTGGTTTGTAGTCTCTAAAGACTAAACATTAAGCCTAGCCTGCTGTCCTAAGAATGCTGTTACAATCTGAGATACCAGGAAAGAATCTATAATAATAAAAGCGTAATATGCTAATTAGACCGGATGTCCTTCCGGTCGACCTTCCAGATGAAGTCGACCTTCCGGATGAAGTTGTGTCTACAAGGGAAGCCCAGGTCCCAGGTGCCTGTGGGTGGCTGGAGGGAAACCTGGGTCCAGGGTGCCAGAGAGAAGCTGGTGCCGGCAGCCTGGAGAAGGAAGGCCTACTCGTGCACGAAATTCGTGCATTGGGCCTCTAGTTTATCTATAAACTAGACCAGTCTCTGCCAACATCTTAGTTCAGCAGAATTTTCATTCTTTGTAAGGACGCTACCTTTAATATAATCTTCTATAAAAAAATCTTAAAGTTCTCTGTGGAAGTGTTAGTGATTAGAGTAAATCAGCTTAAGTTAGAAAGAAGTACCATACTAAGGGTTTTGATGTGGAGATTGTCAATATTTTAAATATACCTACACAATATGTTGTCTCTGTAGAGCTCTGTTGTGTGTAGTTTTTGATGTTTCAGAGCCATAAAAAATTAATCACGGAGGATGGGCCGAGACCATCCTCCGCCCCTATGCCCACCGCAGCCTTGCAGCCCACAGTTCCTTTCAAAGTGCACAAATTTGTGCACTGGGCCCCTAGTAGTTAATAAAAGTCTAGAAAATATAATGTAAACATTATGTGTTTATATGCTTATTTTTATTTCTTAGATTCCAAGACAGGAGAGACAGCGAATAAGCGACGGAAGGGTGCAAAAAATAATGCAACAGCTGCCAAGGTAGCACTGATGAAATTAAAGATGCATGCTGATGGGGATAAGTCACTGCCCCAGGTTGGTCTTGGAGACTTTGAAAAACAAAATGTTTACATGTGGTTGAAGCCCCTCTCTCCTCCTCCCTCCCACCTAGTAACAACTAACCTGAACCTGATGTGTATCTTTCCTAGTGTTACAGGTGTGTAGCTACATAAAAAATGGTACATTGTTTTGTGAGATTTTCACTTTATAGAAATGGTAGGGAGTCATACGTATCTTTCCTCAGCTCTTTTTTTTTTCACTTGGCATCATGTTTTTAGCGTTTATCCATGTTGACACATTTAGTCTAGTTTGTTCATTGTGATAACTGCAAATCCCATAATATGAATATACCACATTTATTCATTCTCGTGATGAACAATATTCAGCATTTTTCCAAGTTTTTTGCTATTATAAACTGTTCAACAGTGACTATCCTCGTGTGTATATGGGAATGTCTCATTAGGGCAGTTCCTTTAAAAAGCCATAATGTCAATTGTATTTTATACAGCAACCCAGTACGTACATACATACATGCATACATACCTTAACACAGTTTCACCTAACCTTACACTGGTATTTTCTAATTCTATTTTGTTTTAAAGAGTACTGATTTTATAACCCCTGAAGGATTGAGGCCCTCAGATTGAAAAATGCTCCCCGAGGGAAGATATGGAGAAATAGAAAAGCTGGGTCCTGGGCTTTGCTTATCCTCAGGTTTCCTGGATGCTGTCAGCTTTGTGCTCAGTGGTTGTGCTAATTTTCTTCTACCCGTCCGAGGGTCTCAGGGTTTCTTGCCAACACTGGGTGTTATTCATTGTTACCAAACTGATAGATATGAAGTTATGTCTCACTGAGGCTTAAAGTTAAATCTCCCTTTTGACAATTAAGGCTCAGTTATTTTGCATGAGTTTATTGGCTATTGACTTTTTTCTGTGAATTATTTGTTCATATCCTTTGCCTATTTTTTCTGTTGAGTTGTTGCACTTTTTTTTACTCTAGATCAGTGGTTCTCAACCTTCCTAATGCCGCAACCCTTTAATACAGTTCCTCATGTTGTGGTGACCCCCAACCATAAAATTATTTTCGTTGCTACTTCATAACTGTAATTTTGCTACTGTTATGAATCGTAATGTAATTATATATGTGTTTTCCGATGGTGACCCCTGTGAAAGGGTCGTTCGACCCCCAAAGGGTCGCAACCCACAGGTTGAGATCGATGCTCTAGATGTTCTGAATTTTTTTACTACATGTATTGCACATTTCCTCTCTCAATTTGTGGTTTGTCTTCTCTTTGTTTTTTATGAGTGGTCCAGACTTTTAAAATTTTAATATGTTCAAATTTATTAGGGATTTCTCTAAGATTTGTACTTTTCAAAATAAATTGTTTAAGATATTTTCTTACATTTTCCTTTAAAAGCTTTATTTTATTTGCTTGTTTTGTGTGGCTCTTTATTCCATTTAATTATAAGTAGAAGTAAAGATTTACAGACATACACATATCTGAATGGATTACCTATGGTCATAGCATAAGGTACTGAGAGTTCATCCTTGTAATTACACCTCAGTCACCTACCATAGAGTACACATGGACTAGTTTGGGACTGTCCATCTTTGCATCAGTACCAAACTGGCTTATTATCATAGCTGTGTAAGAAGTAGGACACGTTTCTTCACCGTACGTTTTGCTTTCAGCTGTGTCTATTCTTGGCTCTTTATTCTTTTGTAAAAATTGTAGGATCACTTTGTCCTGTTCTATGAAACTGTGCTTGATAGGAATTATACTGAATTTTCTATTAAAACGGGTTACCTCTTTAGAATTTTGACTCTTCTCAACCCATCCATGTTTGTGGTCTATTGTTCCAATTTTTCTTTAGGTCTTCTTTTCTGTCTTTAAATAACATCTGTAATGCATACCATTCATATCTATATGTCTTTTCTTAATTATATTCTTAGGTTCTTCATAATTTTTGCTGCCATTGTAAATAACTTTTAAAAAACTTAACGCTTCCTTAATTGGTTATGCTGGTTGTTGTTTGTTGTCCTTCTGTCCTGCAAAGAAACCTCTCATTGTTCCCATGGTTTATAGGCTTTCTGGGATGTTTTCATGCAGTTATATTTTCTGCAAATGACAGTTTTGTGTTTTGGTATTTCTTTTCCTCACATTTTCTTTCCTCTTACTCCTGCTTTTCATCATTATTTGTCTTAATGCATGGGTTGATCTCTATAGAACAGGACTGAATAATAAGGGTGACAGCAGGCATCTTCATCACAGTTCTGACTTTAATCCAAATGAGTCTGAAGTTTCAACATTAAATATTATCTTTATTGTAGGTTGTTCATAGTTGCCTTTATCAGGTTAACAATATTTCTATTCCTAGCTTACTAGAAATTTATGTCATGAATACTTATTAAATTTTTCTGTGGGTTTTTCCCCTACATCTAATAAGATGATCATGTTGATGTATTTTTTTTCCTTATCAGCGTGATAAATTATGATGATTGATTTTCTGTTGTTGAATCACCCACATTTTCTGGGATAAACCACTTGACTTTGGTATATAATTCTTTTAAAATGCACTATTACATTGATTTTCTAATATGTTACTTAGTAGTATTTTGTGCCATTAGTAGCCAGATTATACTTATAAAATTAGTTGAGTAGCTTTCCCGCTTCTATTCTTTGAAATAGTTGTAGAAGGTGGGATTCTTTGTTGTTGAAGCTTTGGTAATGGCTATTATAGCCTTTTTGAAAAAGCGGAGAATATCTAACATGATTTCAAAATGTTAAATAGTTCTTGGTTTATTTGGATAATCTGTTGCTTCTGAAATAAATGTTGGTAAATAATATTTTTCTTAAAATTCCTGATGTAGATTTTCCTGTTTATTATTATAAAGTTGTTCAACTTATTCTCTTAAATAAGAGAATTCCAGAATCTCTACTGTGTCTTTAGTCATTCCATTTCATTCTTAATATTTTTTTCATTTGCATCTCTCTTTGTTTTCTCCTTGGCCAGTCTTCCTAGATGTTTGTGTTTATTTTATTTATTTATATTTTAGTCTTTTCAAAGAACCATATTTTGGTTTTATTGTCCCCTGTATTGTTGCTTTGCTTTCTTTTTCACCAAACTCTGGGTGTCCTTTTTTCTTTGTTCATATTTTTTCTGATGTTCTTTTTTCATCTTTTCTCATTCAATGGTGAACTTACCTGTTTTCAACCTACTTGTTTGGGTGTGTTTTTCAGGTAACTTTAATTTGATATAGTTGCAAACACAAAATAGTAGCAAGAATAGTACAAAGAAATTTTCCATATTTTTTACCCAAATAATACCAGTTAATTACATTTTGCCCTTACATGCTTTATCATTTGCAGTCTCTCTCTTTGTACATATGTCTACACATGTGTACCTGTGTTTGTATGTGTGTGCATACTAATTTTTGGTTTGCTTATGTATTAGTTTCTGAGACAGGTGTGTTAAAATCTCCTGGAGCTGTAGTTTTGTCAGGGTTTTTCTTGTAATTCTAATGTGTTTGCTGAGTTGCATATTATCAGATGTGTGGAATTCTCCATTATTATATCTCCTTTATGAATTTTGCCTTTAATGCTATTTTGAATTATAATAGTACTAGGGGCCCAGTACACAAATTCGTGTACCTTGAAAGGAACTGTGGGATGCGAAGCTGTGGTGGACACAATTTTAGACTTTTAGAAGGGTGATTTTACTGCAAAGTTGACTGTGTTAAATGTTAGTGAGGATAGGGAGCATTATCTGCCTTTTGATGAACCGTTGATAAATTAACCAGAATTTCTTATTTTAAATACATCTATTTGGAGACTAGGGGCCCAGTGCACGAATTTGTGCACCTTAAAAAGAATTGTGGGCCACGAAGCTGCAGTGGGCACAGGGGAGGGTCTCAGCCCATCCTCCATGCCCCCGCCTGGCCCCTCCCACCGTGGCCCATGGTCCCCTGTCTGCCGGAAGCCTCGCTCCCGCCGCCGCTACTCCCATCTGCTGATGGCACGGAGCAATTGCGGCCAGTGCCATCAGCGGGTGCGAGTGGCGGCTGCTGCCCCGATCGCCCCTCAGGAGCAGGGGGAGGTGGAGAAGCCCTCACGGGTGATCAGGGCTAGCAGCCACCGCTTGCACCCACTGACAGCACCGAGTGATCAGGACTGGCGCTGGGTGCCGGCAGCGGGTGTGAGCAGAGGCTCCGCCACCAGCTGCGGGTGCAAGTGGGGCTGATGCCAGCAGCAGGTGTGAGCTCCCGGCAGGACCACAGTGCATGGGAGCAAAGAATTTTCAGTAACCACCAGAGGCTTGCCCCGATGACAGTGACTGGTGCCCCGCCTTGGTCTGGCGCCCCCGCTTACCTGCTCCACCATCCCACCGCGGCCAATGCCTGCCATTTTCCGCACTTTCCCACCTGCTGCCAATGCCCACCATGTTCCACATGTGCCCCCTGGTGGTCAGTGCACATCATAGCGACTGCTTGTTTGGTTTTTCCGCTGTTCAGTCTATTTGCATATTAGGGTTTTACAAATATTTTTCCAC